CCTCGCCCTTTACTCTGCCTCCTTTCATAGCGTGCAAGTGGGCCGTTATGGCGCATGGGGATGTGGGCGGCTCGCGCTCAACCACAAGCAACACGGCGAGCCTTGTACTCGAGAGGCATAGTAAATGGGGAGTTGCACGAAGAAATCAAAGAGAAAACCCAGAAAAAAAAAACAACGTAAGGAAAGCGAAAAATAGGCAACGTAACGGTTTTTAGTGTGCTAAGCCTTCATGTTGTTTTCTATAGACGTAAAGTTATTTCAATTTCGGATCGTACTCATCTGGAAGGGGTTGCTGTGGTGACAGTTTACGACACACGCAAGTCCGATGAAACAGTCCTTTGCAGTCGTTCTTTTTTGTGGAGTTGTGTATAGCGAACATGACAACGCACAAAAACAGCGACCTTGCTAATCTCTCCGTTCACGCGGATCGATGCGGCTAGGGTCGGGACCGTACTAGCAGTCATGCCATTGGGTTTCCATGGCTGAGTGGGTGTCTAGAGTGGGTTTTATCAACTTTTATGGCTGTGAGAAATTAGTTTCTCAGACTTAATGTCGCTCTTGTCAGGGTTTGGACCACAACAGTCTGCTACTGTCTTCACCTGAATAGAACACCTGGTAATTATCACCATATCTGGGCTGAAAGTTGATGACCGGGCGTTCTATTCGGGTGAAGACGGTAGGACTGCAGGGTCGATGTGAGTGAGGTTGACCGCTTTTTTCAGGAGTATAACCAACTTTGGGTGATGTGGTGAGTCCTCTCTCTTTTTTTTTTTTTTTTTTTTTTTTTTTTTTTTTTTTTAATTTGTGGCATGGACCACGACGGATCAGATATTAAACTGTTCAGAACAGATACTACACTTGATCTTACTTAGCCAAAAGGCCGCAAAAGGTATGATGTGGTGAGTCCTTATCACGTACGAGGTTGGCCATGTTGATTACGGTTGAGCGCCGGCTGGCAGCTGCCAGCATCCCTGTGTGCCTGAACGGTCCACTAGCACGCGTTGAGAAAGGTATATAATGGATCTATTGTGCTCCATGTTGCTTGCTATATAGGTACAACTGTTTCATTGTTGGATTGGCTCATAATCTCAAGTGTGCTTGCAATAGAGGTAAAGCTGCTTTGATTTTGGATCGACTCATCTGGGTGGAACAGGGGCTGTTGTGGTGAAAATTCGACACACACACACACACACACACACACACACAAACAAACACACACACACACACACACACACACACACACACACACAGACACACACACACACGCACGAGGTGCAGCTACTTGTGCAGCATTTGCACGGCTGGCAGCCGCCCTGAGCACAAGTGCGGCTGATCAGCTTCCGATTCCCACATCGGGTCCACCCAGTTCTCTCACCCACCTGACCTGCCCCTCTCTCATCCACCTAGCCCCACTTGCTCCCCTGCCCCAAATGACAATGACCCGTCTCCTGATTACCTGATGGAGCCTCCGGATGAAGATCATCTCTCTCTCCGGAGCACATACCAGAGCCAATTGGTCAAGACCACAATGAGTCTCCGCCACCAGTGCAACTCCCCCTGCCGTGAACGTACCCCCCACGCAACCTGCGGAATCAGACAATGTCATAGCGCTACAGCGAGGGCGCTGTGCATACTCTGCCATTAATGTATGTCTCCTTGCTTACAATTGTAATCCTTATACTGTTTCTGATTTAGCAGACGTTGTTTGCTGGATAGAAGAAGAGCACCGTGCCGTCTGCCCAGAGGACGACAGCGCTGCACCTGGTGTGAGCATTTAAGTCCTGGCTATGGCATTTATGGGTAGGCGACTGCAATTCCAGCCTGCTCCGCAAAACCACGTGCCAGGCATGGATCCGAATATCCGGGCATATATCTTATATCGTCCAGGTCATTTCAGTGCTCTTACCTTGGCAGATAATTCATGGACCCTATGGGACAATGGCGGTAGGGTGCATGCATGTGTGACATATTAATTCTTATCTATCACCAAATGCTGGAGGATCATTCAGTCTGGCTTGTCCATCAGGAACAGTATGTCGATGAGCACGTGCAAGCGCTGCATCCTGCGGAGAGCAAGCCGGCTGAGTCTACCACAAACAGTGACAGGACCTCCCCAGAGGATGGTGGCTGTGCCCTCCCGTTGTGTCGTCGCACAGGTGCAGTTCGGTTGGCATGTACACGGTATAGCCTCTGCTCCGAACACTATGAAGGGATGGTCGCTGCTAGCCTCTCACACGAAAATTGTGATCCCCTGTCCTGTGCTCATCCCCCCCACCCCCTGATTACTTGCCCAGCATGCCGTTGTGGCCTTGAGATCTGCCATGCTTAAATAACTGTGCACGTCAGCCTTCCATACTAATGACATGTCAGCAACATGCCATGTGTCGTCGATGCTTCCAGGAAGCTGTCATAGAAAGTATGTGTCTTTACTGCGTGGACTATCCCCGGTGCCATCACCCTCCACATCCTCTCCTAGCATGTCCCACATGCGGTATTGCTCATACACCTACGGCAACCGCTGACGGATCTCCCTCTTCTCTTTCTTGCCAGACGACCGACAGCTACAGCAGTCCGAGGAGGAAAATAGACCTCTATATGAACCACCGGCAGAGCGATGTGCTCATAGGACATATGTTGGTCTCCTGCGGATTGCCCATCACCATCAGTGCAAGTTGTTGCGGACCAAACCCTGCAGCAACTGAACGCCATTGCTTTAGTCCGATCCTCCCTGTCGTCGTCTGCCCACAGAGAAGGAATAAATACTGAGGGAGCCCAAGAAATATGCTCCATGCAGCTTTGTGATGACCCACTGGAGATTCAACTAGCATGTGGTTTGCATGCCTTGTGCCGTGAGGATTATGAAGGGATAATCCATGTGAGTTTTGGCTTCCATACATACGGCGTACTGTACTCATGTACGGCACCCTGACTTGTCATGTCATTTGTAGACACGGGCTGGAAGGACAGTGCCTCTATAATTGCAGTCAACGTGCCTCAGAGTCTGTGTTCCTAGCATGGTAGGAGCCACGTAGCCTGTGACATCTGTCTGCGCCATGTCATTCGATGCGGCAACTGTGACACCGCGAGAATTGGATGCGGTGCTTCCATAGTCCACAACTGAACCGGTCCTGTCCGATCTGTAGGGGTGGCCACTTGGCATAGGCATTAACTGCTGCTCAACCCAACATGGTCCGCTCCACGCCCTTTGTGCTACTAACGAATAGATACGAATGAGCAGCCTTAAAAGAACAGACGATATGAAGATCAGAAATGCAATGAACCGAAGTATGAAGATGGAAGGACGGACACAAAGACTAGGTTTAAGCTCAACATCTGAAGTGAAATGAATCTGAAGTGAAATGAACAGGAGGATGAAGGCCTGAAGAGAAATGCTGCACAGGAGCATACCTTCCCTTTTACTCTGCCGCCTCCTGTTATAACGTGCAAGTGGGCCGTGAAGGCACGTGGGGATGTGGGCAGCTGGCGCTCAACCACAATGAACGTGGGCGGCCTTGTACGTAAGAGGCACAGTAGAAGTTGAGCTGCAAGAACAAATGGAAGCGGTACCCCAAGGACAACCAATAAACTGTCTAATTATAAAATTGCTTTAATATGTTCGACTCTGACTGTCTCATCTCAAATGCTCTTCTTGTCTGCAATAGGATTAAGACTGCTTTCATTCTGAATCTATTCATCTGGGTGGAATTGGGGCTGTTGTGGGCAAAATCTAACACACACACACACACACACACACACACACACACACACACACACACACACACACACACACACACATTCAACCTCCTGATGACTCGGTGAAAGTCCGACGAAACAGTCTGTTCGGTACAGCAGTCATGCTTTTTTTGAGTGTATA